TTTTTCGTATACCAAATGTGAGTTTACTAATGAGTGTACTTGTTTCCTATTTTTTCATCAAGTAAATACTCAAATTGAAGCAGTCTTCCAAATGATTATGGTATCCTTGAGTAATTTTTTTATATTGAGTTTTGATCCGTTATTATCTTTTACATAAGCCCTTTTTTTGCTTTGATTGTTATTTTGTATCCTACTTGTATTATTTATCGGGATTTCCAAGTACACCTTCCGTGTTCTATATACTTGCATAAAGTTTTGTCATTTCGTCAGGGTTCTTGCACCTGTGTGCTGATTTTTCACTTACGATCATTAAAATGTCTATATTAAATTAAAGCATTGGCATTTCAATTATAATTATGCACTCGTTTTGCCAAACCCAATAATTTTTTATGATTATTAACTTGAATCACCTTTGGGTCATGCATAATTAAAGTAATTTGCTAAAGTTTACCTTTAAATATTAATATATGAATTTGAACTATGAACTTTAAAAGATCTTTATCGTGTATGTGCTTCCAATTGGTAGGACTTCACCACAAATTAATGCTCAGCCTTTGTGAGTATGTTCTTCTGGCTCGTTATTAAATATCCTTTTAATTGTTTTTAAATTGCAACATGCTGTTCTTTTTTTAATTTATTACCTATCATCGTTGATTCGCAAATTGGAAAACTTTGTGTCATTGTAGCAATTTACTTCAAACCTAAGTTGATTATAAAATTCGTTATATTGTTGCCTATTTAGAATGATTCCATTTATCACTTTTTCCGTTATCACTGCTTTTTTTAATTTAAAATATTCAAGAAACATTTAATGCAAAATAATACCGATCAAAACAAACATGAATTATTTTTCTGTCTTTAGTTGAGGTTTCTTGATTATCGTCGTGTGACTAAGCACGAGCGCGACCTCGGACGTACATTATTTAGGCATCTGCCTGCGATTAGCGCCATTAGCCCATATTTGAACGCTCCGATCTCAATTAAAGCTCCCGTTCCTGTGCCCAGGGCGCCTGTTCGTGAGGAGTCTGTGGTCAAGACGTTTGTTCCTGGGGCTCCTCTAGCATCCAGCAACCAAATGCTGCCTCCTCCTATTCCTGCTGCATTTCTTGTCCCTGTTAAGCCAAACACTGTCCAAACAGTATCCATACAAGATACTGGCGACAAAGAAAACCAAGTGGCTGAGACAGATATGGATCGGGCTCAGGAGACTTCTG